CTTGCTATAAAAGTTAAGAAGACTTTGTGATAAATCATGACTTCAATTAAACATTTTGGCAACAAAAATAGCTTTAAATTTTAGCGGGTCATACAGTAGAATAACGCCCGCTAAATTTACCAATCACAGCACACGTAGTAACTGAGAGATATAATAAACGCACATTATACAATCTAGCACGTCTCAGATACCAGCAATGTAGAAGCAAAAGGTTTCACTTTATGTACTTACTGCAAGTGAACTGAGCAGTGTTTGTGCAAGAGGAGGCCTTGCTTCTGCAGCCTGTAAAAAGGAACAAATTGTTATGTACCTACATAAACAACCTACTAAGTTGTACATGCATGATTGTATATCAGGTGGTATATGCTTTGCCTTCTGACTACACATGCTGTAAGGTGGAATTGCCCTATACTGTAAAAATGTTAATTATCAATTTTTGTTTGGTAATGATATTTCAGAAAAAAAAAAGTCTGAAATTCAATTTCACTACTACATGTAAGTTAAAATACATTTCCCAAGAAATTAATCAATAATTCAAAATAAATTTCAGATCCAAAAATTTCAAGCCTCACCTCTTCATCTCCAAGATGGAAATTTTCCTCCTGTAACAAACAAAACAAATTTGTTAGTCAAGTAACTAAATATGAACAAAATATAAAAATAAAGTGAAATTACATTTGAGTGCATTGGATCCAAACAGCCATTAAAAAAGCCATGGCCAGTTATCTATCAAACCAAATTTTAAGAATTATACTCTCAGCACCTCTTCTCCTATGTCTCATTGACATGCATGGTTCAACTATTTCAATTCACAAGCACAAACCATACTTGTTCAGCCATACATCTTCACAATTTTATTGTATTCACTTACAAGTCAAACCATTAAAATTTACAACTACTGTACTAATGAGTGCAAAACAATGTGGCAGTGAAAATCCACTTTCAACGACAGGGCTTCACTGCAATGTATTTGGTTTTACCCTGAAATGAGACCTTAACCTAAAATTTCAATGTACAGACATTGTACATGCACCTGTAACAGCTAATGAAAGAAGGATAATAAATATTGCTTACTTCTTGTCCTGGAACTGTGGACCAAAAGAATCCTCTCCAATCAGGATCCTCAAATATGTACGGCACAAACCGAGTCAACAGCCGAACACAGTTCAAAACTGCAAACAACAAAATACAAAAACATACTAACAGATATTTTGCTGTCTGACGAGTACAAGTAGCTCATTTGCATAGTGCAGCACGTACACTTTCAAGTCCAAGTCAGTGTTTTCAATTGTCAACAAATCTTGACAAAGATTTCTTTTGTTATCTTTGATACTGTGATAAAAAACAAATGGAATGTGGTTTAGCATGGTCTGTACTCTTTTTGACAACGAGTATGCGTCATCACAGTGGTCAAAATGTTGTGGACTCATGAGGCGTAGCCGAGTGAGTCACACCACATTCGATTTGTTAAGTAGATGTATACAAATAACAGGAACATAAACTTGCAATGATATTTTGGTTACTGTGATTGTGAGTTCTAATCAGTTAGCCAGTTACATGTAGTTTAAAGACTATGTTTTAAATTTGTTGTTTTGAAGATCTTCTTAATGCCCTTTTAAGAATCTTCATCATCTCAAAATGAAAGTTGCTCGACATACATGTAATGCAAGTTCCTTTAGATTCTTGCAAAGATCCCAACCAACTCCAGGATTTTGCAATATACCTGGCAAAAAATATATTCTAAGTCTTCAGCAAATCCTTCAAGATCTTAATTAAAAGGTCCTTTTGAAGATCTTTGAAAGATCCTCGTCATCTTTTACGATCTTTCTACATGTATAAGATTCTTTCAGGATCTATGAAAAATCCTCAAAGTTTTTCCAAGGTTTTTTCTCTTTATCAGGGATACCAGGAAAAAAACATACCAGAAAGTTGTTCATTAGGGCCTGAACATCCAGTCAGAGTGGCATTCTGAAGCTTCTCAACACACTACAGGAAACAAAAATATGCCATTCTGATGAACAAAGATGCCACACAAACATTCAAGTACTAAATTTACATATAATGTATGTTATAATGCATATATACAATGTATAATGATAAATGTAATAATGTCTTTGGGCTGCTACCAACTATATCTACATGTATTATATAAATATGAGTGTTTCACTGGACATTAATACACATGAAAAAATTACTCGATTCTGATTGGCTAAGAGCAGTGCAGTTCAAGTGTAACACAGTGCAAAAATCAGTGCATGATTGACTGAAAGACAATAGGAACTTTTCTAAGAAAATAATATCACGTAAAATGATGACAAAAATTTTGTGCTGAAACTTTGAAAAAAGTTTTCTCAAAAGAGAAAAAATGGTTTCAAGAAAGATCTTCTGGCACTTCCTCCGTGTGAATTTTTTCATGTTTATATTATTAATAAGTAATCATACGGTTTTTCTCATTCAATTTGGAGTTAATTTGCACTTGTGAGTTTTTCAAAAAGCTGAA